TCATATGCAAATCCCTTGTACATTCCAGACTAAAAATTCTTACTGTTACCTTTTGCTGAGGCCTACTGGGTGCGAGGCATTCTTTGGGGCATATATATTTCATATTTAACAAACCTTGGAAAAGAGATATTACATAAATGCCCTATTTTGCAGGTAAAGAAAACAAGATTTTATAGTCAGTAAAGACCCATGTACACAAATTCTGTATTCACTCTTACTCCCCATCCTTTATTTAAGAATTTCTAGAAAACATCAGGTACACATGGCAAAATGAGATTTTTTTTAACTTACCCTTTTCCAAATGGGCACCTTGGCTTTTAAAGTATCAATGGCATAGCTCACAGCTTCAAGAGATGCAGCCCTGTGGGCTGAGGACACAGCAATGATTATGCTTGCTTCTGACACCAGAACCAAGCTTTAACAAGACGAAGACTAAAAATTACCATCACCGCCTAATCTATGTGTTAAACAATCTGCTAGGCACATTAAAAAAAAAAAAACAAAAAAAAACAACCCCAGTTACACATTCTTAGAACTATGCTGTAGTTCTACTTTACTTAAATATCCCATTCAGTTAGAAAACATTAACTCATCCCAGTTGTGTTCAGCAGAGGAGATGCTGAGACTGATGTTGAGGCTAATTTATCAGCATCTATCCACTAAACCACTTAATGGGCATGAAGATGGAGGAGTCCTTTCATTGACTCAGCAAAACATCTGCCTCAAACAAGGCACAAAGCCAAGTAATGTCTAGAGGTACAAAGTTACAACACCTGACAAGTATAACAAAGAATTTAGAATACTAAATAGCAATAAGTGCTAATTAATAGTACTGATAATATTAATCATTAATAAAACTGGTTATTAATAAATTTATAGTTATTAATAGCAAAATAATAACTAGTAGAATATGATAGATGAGGTCTAAATAGTTGGTTTCTTTTTAAAATCCAGAACTCTTCTCTTTTTAGTGATACAAAAAGCAAACTACTCTAATGATGTTCAAAGGCATTTATATGAAAAATAATCCATAACAGACTGTCATATGAACAGAGTCCAGACCACAAAACAACTCTCGAGAGGCCTCAAGGCCTTCAGCACACATTAGCAAAGGCCCTGAGGTCCAGGGCCTGAAAATCTTGGCACATGTGAGCTTTGTTACAGCACCAAGGGCAACATCAGCTTGCCCAATATTACAACCCAACAAGCAGTCACTGAAAGCACCGAGAACTATCCCTTCTGTCCTCCAGAAATAACATACAAACCTTCCTAGTGGTAGTATAGAATTTTTAAGAAAGATTCAAGAACCAGAAGCAACACAAAGATGGAAAACAACTATACTTAACTTCTAAATTGATAAAGGAAATCATACCCAAGTCTATGGAACACTGCTATGTGTTTGGCCATTTCTGCCTAATGTCACTACAAATCTTTCTGACTTCATTTTCTGCCATGGGTAGATAGGCTTCATATTCTAAGCTAATGATTTTTTTCCCTTCAAAGTTATTTCTTGCAGTCCCTAAAAAAAGCAAAAAAAAAATTTATTAAAATAAGGTCTTTCCTATAATAGAAATAGCACATTAATATAATATTTTTGAATAGTAAACCAGCAAAACAACTTGTCTAAAAATTATCTTGAAATATTCAAAAAGCAAAACTTGATTAGAAAAACAAAAATTATTACAAACATGATAAGGAAATAAAATAATACTGGTAAAGCAAGCTTATTGAAAACACATATGACAAACTAGGTCATATGCCTTTTCTGACTAACATTTAGCATTTGATACTTACAAGGAAAATATTTATGTTCTAGGACTATCATCAAATACACTTTCCCTTCAATATGTGGAAAATATTGAACTCTCTCTGCTAACATGACTTTTATCTTACTTCTTAAAATGCCTTGCAGTTTAATACAAGTTAATTTGAAGGTTACCAAAGCAAATAAAACAAAAACCAAAAAATTATCTACCCACATTATGAGTAATCTTGGCTTATTGCTCAGTATCCTAAAATCTTCTATTAACACTGAACAGGAAAAGCACTTGCTAATTTCTATTGTCTGTGCAATCACAAGACAATAGACATGCTGTGAAAATATACTCATCTACAAACAGGGATACTGCACCACAGAGTGGAGAAATCACCAACTGTGAGACTTTGTCTACTGAAAGTTTCTCAACAGTGAATTTTATTACATCTTTAGATTTCTCTTCAACTTCATTCATATCTTTCCTACAAACAAGATGTTAATAAGCCTTAACACCAGTCCCGGGGTGAAACACTTAACTTACAGATTTTCAATTTACATTTTTTCGACATCATGTTGACCTAAAAAGAAGAGGCTGCAGCACAAAATATGAGGGAGGCCCCCCAAAATCTGAATTATCTTTTGGAGGGCAGCCCCTTGTAGTACACTTGAAATTTGTTTTTCGAGCTGAAACAGTCAACCAAAGCTCTTATCTGGAAGTTTTGAGAAGGTTGCATCATGATTTGCAAAAGAAATGTCCTGAGTTGTTGGAAACAGGTGACTGGTTCTTTTATCATGACAATGCACCTGCCCACACTATGCTGAGTGTACAACAGTTTTTGCCCCCCCAAAAAGGCATAAGCCCTATCCTCCCTATTTACCGATCCCCCCTCAGCAACTTTTTTTTATTTTCCCAGATGAAAAGAATTCCTCAAAGGAAAATGTTTTGCTGATGTGGAAGAGGTGAAATAAAAAATGACAGAAACACTAAAAGGCATCAAAACTGACAATGTCAAAAACTGTTTTGAGCAGTGGAAAAGGCATCTTGATAAACAAATGAGTACTTTGAAGGTGACTAAAGTTTAAACACAAAGAATACACAATTTTTTATAAATAATTTTGGTCCCCCTCAACATATAATTTGAAGAGTTTCTGAACCCAAAATGAGTACAGCTGCCCAGGACACTTGCAAGTTGCCCTGGAGAGTGCTCCATCAGCCTTTGTTATACAAGAAGATTTTTAAAGGCAAAGGGAACAAGGCCCAGACTGATACAAAGCTGTTCATCAGGAATTCTCATTGGTTTACAGATATAACACTGATAAGTGATTGGCTATACGCTGTTGAACTATGGAGCATATGTTATGATGTCCAGAGTATGGTATTTCACAGCTATGTGGCATTAGTTAGTCTGGAGCCCACCTGGCAAATGGCCTCAAGAGATTACTGAGAGATTTACTCAGCTCAAGGGGGAGTGAGATATGACTGTTATTTCATCCCAATGCCTCTCCAGGTCTAATAATTTAAAGGGGCTCACATTCCTCAGATTATAAATTTATTTTCTTCCTCCCACCAAATTATATGTGTTAGAAGGTATGATTTGATCTGAAAGATAAAAATAAGCCAGTGTAAAATGCTAGCAAATCTGAATATATTTATAAATATGTCAAATAAATGAGGCATGATATAAAAAGGAATTTACCATTACATGATCACTAGAATGCAATCTATCTCATATGTCAGTTTATTACAAATTCTGCAAACATTATTCATATCTCCCATCATGGAATAGTTGAGATAGTGCCAGCTTCATCTACATGCCCAGCCTCTCTGATCACTATGTTACCAAGCACCATACTGAAAACTGCCTTTATCCTTATCCAAAAAGAGGGGATTTGCAGAGGTGATGGTGATTCTACAGGAACTGGGTTCCTTTCACAAGCTGACAGAAGCCCAGGCAAGGAACTGAGGAAATAAGGAAACAAACTACACACCTATTTACCAGGTTTTATGCAAAGCCCTTTACCATGCATACCTCTTTAAACATCATTCCATACTCACCTAAGGGACATTATTGCATACAGAGACTAAGGCCAGGCACTAGATATGAGCTAGGGAATAAAAGTAAGGCTCCTAACCCCGGGGTGCTTGTAAGTGAAAGGGAGAAACAAAGTAACAAATAAGAATTACAAATAAGGATAATTTGTGGACATAAAAAAGTTCTGAGACAGAGCACAGGGGCTGGGGAAGAGGCTACTTGAGATAAGGAAATCAGGAAGGTCTTTCTCAAGAGGCAATATTAAAAGCTGATATCTGAGAGACAAGAAGGCAGCCATGTAAAGAAACAAAAAATGGGACTGGCCTTCAGGCAGAGAGAAAGAATGGCAAATGCAGAGGTTCTTGGGGGCAAGAAAGAACATGCTGTGATCCAGAACCCACAAACAAGGGAGATGACAGGACACACTGAGGCTAGACAGTAGGTAGGGCCTTGTAGGCCATGAGAAGTATAATTACAACTCCTGTGAGGTTTCACCTGAATTGAAAGATGAGAGAAAGAAGGGTCACAGAAATTAAGGACTCACTCAAGGTACTGAAATTCCAAGCAAGAAATCTTAATAAATCCAAAGTTACTTTCCCTATCTCCTTCCAATTATTGAAAAGAAAATCACAATTATTCATATACCACTGGATTCCAGAATTTTCACCTGCTGTACAAGCCACCTAATCTTCATCCACCTCTTTTTCTTGCAATAAGGCATAGGTAAGCCAATATGGTCTGTGAGCTTCAAAACATACTGAATTCCCCCAACTTCTGACTCTTCAAGACTACTAAAATCTTAACTGGCAGGTTCTAAATTTACTTAATATGAATCCTTCCAAGCACACTCAAAAGACACAGAAAGCTTTTGAGTAATATTTTGAATCCTTCCAAAGAACAGCAGTAATCATCACAAACACTACCTTAATGGAAGCCTATAGTTTTTTGAATAAATTCCCAACTCTTAGCATTTTAGAACCTCCTGAAATTATAGTGGTGATATTGTGAACAAAGTTTCTAAATAAGATTGTGGACATTTTTCTTTCTTCTCAATAAATCCTGCTTTTCCACGCAAAAAAAATAAATAAATAAAAAATAAAATCGAGGTACATATCTAGCAAGGAATTCTTCTATTATTTCCAGATAGGTCTGAGAAAGAACATTAAGTGGCGACATGTGAGTCAATTTACTTCATATATTCCACCTCCTCATCCTTCTCCTCCTCCTCCTTCTTCTTTTGTGGCATAACCCTCAAGGATGGTGGGGGAAAATGGGTGAAAAAATAAAAAAAGCATCCTTGGCTTGTTTCTTTCTCTAATGGAACCAAGTTTTTACCATTAAGTATGA